TTTATGTTATTATATATATAATGTCTAAAGGCTTCATATTAAATGGTACACAGTCTGGGCAGGAGGATTGTGGGTATTGGGGTATGGAGGCAGAAAGTTTTTTGCTTTTTGTTTTTTTTTTTTGCTTTTTTACATTTCTTACTGTTTTTTTAAATAATTTTATTATATAATTTAATACATATTTGATGAATGTGAAATAGTATCTAAAGTATGAGTCATCAGAGTGGTGTAGCCATAGAGCCATGGGGGTTCAGAGGAGAGTTGTGTTTAACTAGAGGGAGATGAAGAAGAAAGGCTTCGGCATAGGTGAGATTTTATACTCGCTCTCATGCTGAGGAAAACATGGTGGACAAGCGGAGGTGAGGAAATCTAGGCGGGAGAGCGGTGAGGGAAACTGCATGGAAGTTGGTGAGTAAGGGAAACAGCATCAGATCACGTGGCTGGAATGTGGGGGAATGGAGAAGGTGGCTGTAGTATGTGAAGAGTCCCTGGGGGAATTTATAATCACATATCAGGCTAATATCCTCTGACCCTCCTAATCAATCTGAATATCCCAAGGACAACCACCTGTGACATATTCTTGACAAAAAAAAAAAAAAGATCTAACTGAGCCTTGAGATCTAAATAGCAGTTGACAGAAAACATGGGCAACAGGAACATTTAAACAACTCTGTGAGGATAAACTCTGCCAAATCCAGAATGTGAGAAATTCTACAGGACAATGAACTGATTTCTTCGATAAATACATGGCATGAAAAAGAGGAAGAGGAAACTGTTAGAGACTTAGAGACCTAAAAGACATAGCAACCAAATCAATGCGTGAAGCTAATTTGAACAAACCATTTGTATTAAAACAAAATGTTAAGACAATCTGGGAAAATGAGACACAGACTGGGTATTAGATAAGGAATTATTCATGTTGTTGGGAGTGAAAATGGTATCATATATACATTTTAAAATTTGTATTTGTTAGAGTTGCGCCCTGAAGTGTTTATAATAGAAATGATAAAATGTCTGCAATTTGCTTTCAAATATTCCAGCAAAAAAACAATAAAAACTAAGAGTTAGAGTGGGGTGAGCGAGATGAAACAAGAATAGCAGCAACTTGATGATGTTTGAAGCTGAGGGGTGATTCCATGGGGATGCTCTTTACTCTTCCACGTACTTTTGAGTGTGTTTGCAATTTGCCATAATAGTGTTATAAGGCCAAGCTAAGAAGTTTGGACTTCATTGTGTAGCACCAGGAAACTTGTGAAGGGTTTTGACCCAAGGAGGGGGCATGGGAGGGGCTATGAGTGAACCCAAAAGGTTAACCTGGTAACAGAGTGTGACGTGGCCAGGAAGCAGGAAAACTAGAAGTGGGAGCCTATTTAAGGCGTGGAGCTTGATGAAGACGTGGTGGCCGTGGGAAAGGAAACTTTTTTAGAACAGATAGAGGAAATAATGTCAAAAGAAGCACTGGGTGGGTAGTGTGGAAGTGAATCCGGTGCATGATGGGGAAAAGCCCTTCTTCCTCTTCAGTTAGTAGCAATTATTGTCCTTAAGCCACTGCACGGAGTACGAGAGGACAGAGAGGAGAGGGAAAGGGTCTTCGCTGAGGAGGAGCGGAACTGGGTCTTTATGCTAGCCAAACGGGAAAGCAATGGGAAGACAAAGACTTCTGTGTTTTTCCCCTTTTTTCTTTTTCATGAGGAATTATTGTCTAGTGGTTTCAGGATGAAATTTATAGGCACAGTAATTCATTTTGGTCTTCATTCTCTATTTTATTGAGGAAATCACAATAATCTTTGTCCGTGGTCCCATATGAATCATTTATCATATTAGTTAAGACAGATATATTATTTGTAAAATTGAACCCTTTACCATACTGTGTGTGGGTTAATTAAATCAGTTGAAATGATACGGCCTGGGGAAACAAAAGTCGAACTATAGTAAATTAATGAAAGCTTACATTTAAATATATAGCTTCTGATTTGTCAATAAAAAAAGTGTTAAAAATGAACTCCAGATCCAATAGAAAGTAGCAGTTGTTAGAAATTAAACAGAAGTGGTAGTTCTCTATTCCTCTACAATCAAAGATAATTAATACTTTACACCCCAAATATTAATAAGGTCTGATATAAACAGGCCTCCCAGAGAGGAATACACTCCTCAGAAAACAGTTTTCTGATCACATTCGCTGTCTTTTTTCTTGATTCTTTTTTTTTTTTTCCAAGAATTACACTACCAAGTGCAGCCTATAAGTGTGGTCCCTATGCTATGATTGACACACCTCTTTTCTGTCTGAGTCTCACATACCTATTTAGAGAGAGCTGAGCCGAAGTGGGGGAAAAGATTGAAACAATGCATTCTTTTATCCTTATTCTTCATCAAGAAGGTGAGGAAACTTTTGAGACCCCGTAAGAGGACTTCTCATCCACCATCCCAGCTGGTACAGTCAGAAAGAAGTGAGGCTTTGGTCAGGTTTGCTGCTGGTTTGGGCCCAATTAAGGTAGCATTTTTAATTCGTGGTAGCTGTTGTTAAAAAGCTCTCAGGGAGGAAAGAAAAGGAGAAAAAAATTCCTAGCTAAAAGCAAGAGAGGTGGTTGTTACTTTACTCAGGGACACATAGCAAAGCCGCTGTGTTGCAGGAGGGGTGGGGATGGAGGGACACGTGGTTACTTCTTATGGGAAAGTTGAACTATCATCAGCGCCAGCGGGGAAGGAGAGGGCGAAGGCAGCAGCAGTGTCTCTTGCAGTGCTGCCTCCCTTATTGCATTATCAGAAAAGAAAGATAACCTGAGAAGAGGCATCCATTATCTCTTTTTCAGCGAAGGGATTAGTGTGGGTTGCAAGAAATTAATGGCTTTTGAGTTACCACAGAAATGCTAATGAATTTCAGGGCCAGAGATGTAGAGCAGGTAAAAGTGGCTTTGCTCTGCCGCATTTCTCTCCTTTTCTCTTTGGGTTTGCTATTTTAAGATTTGGATCTGTGTTCCTCTTTCTTTCTTCAGCCAAGATCAGAAATTACACCCTTTGGGAATGTGACTTGTCTTCCTTAGGGAATGAGTCAATTAGCTTATGACTGTCTCCAATGTGTGTCAGCACAAGAGATGGGGAAACATGTCAGAAATGAAAACCTCTACTAGGGAGGGCTGCTTTCTCGTGCGTGGTTGTCATTTTCATGCCTGATAAAAGCAAGAATTCTCTCAAGAGATGTCCCCTTTTATTAAAACACTAAACTGGTATATATTGCAGCTAGTCATTGATTAAAGATGACATGATCAGTTAAACTTGTGAAGCAGAGGGGAAGGGAAGGGAAGGGAATTGTATGTTCTATATTGCTGGGCATGGTGTTAGAAGCTTTATTTCTAATTCAACAAGTACTTTTAAAGTACTTATCATGTAACAGGCATTGCATTATGTGCTGTCATTTTGGATGAAAAGACAGACCTCACCCCTGGGCTCAGGGGAGCTTACAGTCCAGTAGGGAGGACAGACTTTAAAAAAAACAAAAAAATCAACTTCAAAATGTATTTTATTTGATTGGGTATTTAAATAAATGATTATAATACAGCTTGATAAGAGCCCATAGAAGAGAAATAATATAGTAGGGATACCTGATACTGACCCAGGGGTGTGTGTAGGCAAGGGGGCGGGGGTTGAGGGAGTCAGGACGAACCCCCTTTCTGGAAGAGGGGATAGCTGAGTGAAGGGTTAAGTGTATGGTAGCTGATGGAGGCTGTGGGAACAGCTTAAGGTCAGGCCCAGAGGTGAACAAGATTGCCATCTAAGCAGAGACCTATAAAGTGAGCTAGTTGAGGCAAGTCTGGAGAACTGGTTAGAAGACAGAAGGCTCATGAACTGGCCTTGAAGACGAATGGGGGTGTCTGAGAAACAGCTCGCTTCCTGCACCCTCCTTTTCCCTGATCCTCCCTGGTTTCACCACCCGGAAGAAAGATGAGTTTTAGCAGGGAGTTAGGTCAACTGGCAGGAGGAACATTCTGTTCTGTCTGGTACTCTGTGGAGTGTTACCTAGAAAATAAGAAACCTTGGCCAAGTGCAATTGTCTCACGGGCCCACAGGGCATGGATAGGCACATGTATTCCAGGGTTTCTGTTTTCCACACAGACATGGTCACACTGCAGGTCACGCTGACATGACTTCCCCCCAGGACTTACTCCTGTGCTCGTAATTCCATGCTACAGAGGGTGCCAAAAAAATGTATACACATTTTAAGAAAGGAAAAAACTATATTAAAATTGTAATACTTAAAATAAACTGGTAACACAAGATGAATACAAGTCACGTGTATACCTTTCTTTTTTTTTTAAGGTTTTATTGGGGAATTGGGGGAGGGGAACAGCATTGAGGAATTGGGGGAAGGGGAACAGACAAGTTGCTGTCCTTTGGTTCTTCAGTCTAGTTGTGGAGGACGCCGCTTCACTGACCCATGTTGGTATCATGATTATTTTGCTCTTCCCAGCTGAGGCAGGTCGGTCGCCGGCCACTGGACGGCCGCTCACGGTGGCTCACGGCAGCTCTCGCGTCTGCCGGCTACTCACACTGGCTGCCGGCCACTCACAGTAGCCCATGGCAGCCCACTGCAGCAGGGGCTGCAGCCTACGCCGATGCCAGTGATTCAGGGCAGCCCAGCACCAGGTCAAGCTGTTGTTCACCATCTTAGCTGTAGAGGGCGCAGCATCACTGGCCCATGTGTGATCCGAAACGCTCCTGCTGCTCAGAGTTTGCGCTGGCAAGCCAACTCTTAACTAACTGAGTCACTCGGCCGGACCACGTGTATACATTTTTTTGGAACCCCCGGTAGTTAAGTTTTTCAGGCCTGAGATGTTCCCCAATTACACCTTGTCCATTAGGAATTTTATGACTTCTGTGTTTAGTTTGAACCAGAAAGATACCAACCCCTGATCTGCTTGGTTTCTCAAACCTGCCTTTTCATCTCATTCAGTTTCTTCATATTAATGAAGTAATGCTTTGCTTTTTTGTTTTTCTCTTTCTAGAACACAAGCAGGCATTCCCAAACATTCTGAAGAAGGGTTACCTGGAGATTAGAAAGGACCATGACAGTTACTGGCAAAGCTGCTATGCGGAACTCTCCCCCTATAACCTGTACTTCTACAGCCTAGACAGCAGCGGGAATCAAAGCCTCTATGCCACGTACCAGCTTTCACACTTCCAGAGCATATCCGTTCTGGGGAACCTCGAGGCTCGGCTAGTGGATACCGTTCTGTATGACAACACTCAGCTACAGCTAAAGGCGGAGTCACCATGGGAGGCTTTGGACTGGGGGCAGAAGCTCTGGGAAGTCGTGCACGCCGCCGTGCCTGCTTACGTGGGACGGCCGGATGAGCTGGCAAACTCGCCAGGCCTTGTTTATCATGTGGACTGTACGCAGAATCATTGTTTACTGAAGAAATCTAGTGAGCTGCTCGCACCATCCCCTGCCTCGGATAGCCCCAAACGGTACCATGACATCCTCAGGTCAGGGACGCTGTACAGGCTGACTGTGCAGAACAACTGGAAGGCATTTACGTTTGTGCTGAGCAGGGCCTACCTCATGGCCTTTCAGCCCGGCAAGCTGGATGAGGACCCCCTGCTCAGCTACAATGTGGACGTGTGTCTGGCTGTCCAGATGGACAACCTGGACGCCTGTGACTCTTGCTTTCAAGTCATTTTTCCCCAAGATGTTCTCCGCCTCCGTGCTGAGACCCGGCAGAGGGCTCAGGAGTGGATGGAGGCTCTGAAAACAGCTGCCAATGTGGCGAGGAGTTCAGAGCAAAACCTGCAGGTCACACTGAGGAGCAAGTCCAAGGACCAGACAGGCGGGCATGAACTCAGGAAGAACAAACGTCAGTCCGTGACCACTAGCTTCCTCAGCATCCTGACCACTTTGTCTTTGGAACGAGGACTCACTGCTCAGAGTTTCAAATGTGCAGGTATGAAGCAAACTTTCAGCCTAGAGCTCGTTAAGGAACAATTCAGATCCCACAATTGGAATTCACTTTAAAAGTCTCCTCAGTAGGCCAGTCCCAGCTCCTTCTTGTTTAAAAGGCATCTCTCCTTCAAGGAGTTTGCTGTATTCAAACATCTGTTTATCTTCATGCCGTGCTGGTGAAGTAAGTAGAAGCAGAGATGATAGACCCCATTGAATCAAAATTTGTCAGAAGCGTTACCAGGCTAGATTTTGGCTTCCTGCGTCTACTGCGATTCTGTTTCCTCTGCCTTCTTAAATAAAGGTCACTGTGATGTGGATGTCACACATTGTCTCATTAGAGACATTCAGGCCCAAGGCTGACCCCTAATATCCTCAGGCAAGGAGAATATCCATGGTCAGTAACTGTCATTGACCATGACCGTGTCAAGGCCTATTAAGGTAGACTCTAAAAAGTCAGCCTTGACAGAAATATGGAGATGGCTAAGATCAGGGTAGATGATGATTAAGCAGATGACCTCTGAGTCACGATGGGCCTGTGCCTCATCCCGGGGAAGCCCAGTGCTTCTGGAAATGCTGTGGAAGGGCGAGACTCGAAGGGAAGTTCAAGGCCAGCCATCTGTTATTTCTTAACACCCTGGCACTGCTTCTCTTCGCTACTCCCCATTCCTCTCACCTCCCCCAAAGCAGTGTACCAGAAAGAAAAAAGCCCTCGCTAAACCAAATCTACACATCTACTATAAGTGAAATCAAATTATGTCTCTTTCACTAAACCCCACTATTTGTGACAAGAAATTTACCATGAAGGCAGCTTTAATTGGGAGCCTGATTTGGAAGATTTTAATTCAAGTACATCAGACTTAAGCATGCTGTTTAAAAATGTACAGGAAGCTCACCACCAGCCAAGACCAACTTTTAAATTTTGTGCTTGCTTCTTCACTGAAAAACCAAATAGTGGTGGCACGCTGAAAACCCCCGTTTTGAATTTAGGTTCGTTATGATGGTGGCCTTTTCTATTGAAAAATAATTTACGTAAGTGTGTGTGTGCGCGGGGAGGGGGGGGTGACGAGGGGGGCGTAGTAAGTGAATTCTTGCTTTGCCTGGAGGGTCTCAGTGATTGCAGGGTGGGGTTGGAGAGACCAAAAGCATCAAGCCAGTAAAGAAGCCCTGTGAGGCAATGTGCACATATCTGCAGGCAGGAAAGGCCTTGTCTAAATCAGCCAGCTGCTTCTGGAAAACGGTTTTGAAATACACAGATACTGGTTTTAGGGTAGTTCTTTAAAAATGACTGACATTTCACTATCTTATACTAGTAGATACATTTCAAGTTGAGGCATTCAGCAGGAATGTATGGAGTGCTTACTCTGTGGGCGTTCTGGAATTATGGGACACTTCTGTGGCTTTAGATTTTTGATAGGGACAACAGTCTATCTGGGAGAACAGCTCAGCTTAGCGCTCAAGGTAGAGATGGGAATGACTGAATTGGGAAACTTCCTAGGAAAAAGGGACGAAAAGCCTCAGGTGTAACGTAAGGATCGTTACCTAGTTGTCACCTAATTCCCTTCCCCTCCTGTTTGCTTCCTGAGGGAGTGTGCACTGTTTTGTACTGCATTTAGCAGCGTTCCGAAGAGGAGAAATGCAGGTAGAGGGTCCCATTCAGCAGGCCCACTGCATCTGGCAGTTGGAGAAATGAAAACAGAAAAAGGTAAAGAAAGGTGAGTCGAAGAGGCAGGGAGAAGGAAGCGAAGTAGAAAAGAACAGGAAAAGGATTGCATGATGGACGGCACGATGGAACTTTTGGCAGCTACTTTTGGTTCCATGTTTTCGGCTGCCTCCCTTTGCTGTCTAATTCAGGTGCTGACTAAATTTGGCTGGTTGGAAAATCAGTTGGGGATGAGTGGTGGTAGGGAGTCCAGGAGACAGGGTAATGGAGTCCAAAACTCATGTGTTCTGCTCAGCTTTTACCTTCATGCTTTGGTTTGGGGTTTTAATGGGGCCCAGGGAGGTTTTTAATTTGGGGTGGGGAGAAGTCAATCCTATTTTGTAAGGTGTGGCCAATTGCATGTTACTTTCATTTCAGTGCTCTCTCATCCATTGAAAAGTGCTGCCTTCAGCGGCCTTGGGATACACGTGGTTTTCCAGGTCAGCTAGGAATACCGGTTTTCTACCTGAGGTGGGAATACTTCATCTCCTGTAGGGGGCAGAGTCTCAAAAGAAAAAGGCAGAAGAAACTTGTTAAGCAAACCTGAGTGTTTTTTAAATTACTTGGGAGGCTCTTCATTATATCAACAATTATTATAGCAGGTGGAACTTTAAAAATTGATGTATGCGTCTCACAAACACAGTTAATCTAATCCAGCTGCTGCTTCATTTAGTACTTGTGCCCCCTAATTTTGCATCCTTATAAACTCATTTGGTGAAAAAGCTGGTTGCACAGCACGTTTACCTTCGAAGGCTAAAAAGTCCAGTAAATTGTTTTTAGTTGGATTTTGGCTTTATCCGTTATTTTAAGGAGAAGCTAATTCACAATATTTCATGGTTTTAGTGAGCCTCTTTAGACTGTAAGTTTTTATGTCCACTTAGGCCCTCCCCCTTTAACTATTTTTGATGAATAAACTTTAAAAGTGGAAGATTGTACTGGGGAGCTCTTTGTTAATGATGTCATTCAGTTGCTATTCAGGGGAGCCACAAATGTTGGCTTTTCAGTCTACAACATAGTGCAGTTGGCTTTGTTGCACTAAATTCTTTCTGTAGGTGAATGATTGCCTATATCCTTCTCTGAAATTTAAAGAGCCCCTGCAGAGAAAATGGACCACGACCATCCCAAAATGCCTGAGGTTATGGTTTTGAAAATACATGCTTATTTATAACTGTATATTTTTTAGCATGTGCTTGAACTTTTTATAGTTGTAGTTGATTATGTGTGGTTTGTTCCTTGGCTTCCTCTCCACTCCATGGCTGCCCTGTGGTTGGGAAACCCCAGTCACAGTGGTCTTCTTGATGTTCTGGAACCTACCTTGGTCATTCCTGCCTCCAGAGCCTTTACACTTGCTGTTCCTTCTTCCTGAAAGCATACCTTTGAAAATTAAGTTCTTCCATTTATTATGCCATTTCTTGAGTGCTGAGTTTCTGACCATGTGCCTGAAAGGTGGGTGACCCTGGACAAGTCAGTGTTGCAAGAAAGTAGACATGGTCCCTACTCTCATGGAACTTGTAGTCCACTAGGGGAGACAGACATTAATCAAATCATCACATTATGAATCCCAATTGGCAATTGTGACAGAGCTGTAGAAGTGTGGCACACACACGGGATTAGAGAGCTGTCAGAGGTGGTACCAAGTGGAGCTATGTGAAATTACAGATATTTGGTCATTTTTGACCTACAAGAAAAGGTTGAACTTAATGTTTGACCCTGAAGACACAGAAGGCCCCTGAGCAGAAGAGCACATGATGCAGTAGTAGTTAAGAACAATTAATTTGGTGGTGTAGAGCAGAAACGAGACACGCTTCTTTAGTGAAGTTACTTGTTGGGATTCAAAATCATGTTTGGCAGTGGAGATTCTATGATATTAAAATATTAATGCTAAAAAAAATGACTTGCAGCTTATTAAAATATTTGTGAAATATGTCCCTGTAAGTGGTTTTAAGTTGTTCACAAAATGTTGTATAAATTAGATTATAAGGCAGCAGCTCTGTTTTCTTCAAGAACTAGACATGTGTACGTACCTGTTTCCCCTCAATAGATAACGTGGTTCTCTTGGCAGTAGTACACACAGATAGTTTTTCCTGTAATTTCCCTGCAATCAAGAAACCTAGCAATTGAGTACAGTACTATAATAAAAGGCCCCAGGGCCAGTTTATAGTTTTGACAAGAAATGCAAAACAAAGCTCACCTTTTAAAGCATTCCTTTTGTTACTGCTGTGTAATCTGGAAGTGACATTGGATGGCCCATTGTGGGACAGTGTTCCCGATTCTGAACTGAGGCTGAAAATGGTAACAGAAGAGACAGCGAGAGAAAGAGTGAGCCAAGGGGATGCCCTCCGCCATTTTCACACTGTCAGTTTTCATGGTTTTACTCCTTTGCCTGCTGTTTAACCTCTTGGGACTGCTGTTGGTAATTACATCTCTCTGGTATTAAGAGCTTTTTGCTTTCCTTTTTTTCCCCCTAGCCCTTGGGAGGGGTAAACCCCAAGGTAGAGCAGGGGGTGGGGGGGAGTTTTGCTGTGAATTCTTCAGCCATTTAGTGCAAATTCCTGTAATTACCGGCATTGTGTCCTCTCTGAATGGCACATAATACAGCAGAAGCCATTCCTAATTGAGACCTTACAAGAGGTACAAATCCTGTCTTTGTTCAGCCTGACAAATTAGTGCCAGAAAGTGGCAGGGTCCGAGTGGGAATCAAAGACAAGAAACACAAAGATGGAACTTAAGGCTACAGTAATAACCCTCTCTTGTCCTGAAGGGAAAAAAGGAATGACCAATGAAAAATGAAGGTTTTTTTTTTGGGGGGGATTATAAATTCCCTTGACATGACAGCACCTCAGGGGCTGCTCTATTTATTTAGCAAAAGTGATTAAATAGTAATACAACAGGGCTGCCCATTGTTTCCCCGGTGCCCCCACCTCACAGACCCCTGCTGCCTCCGCTAATTGATTGACAATGAACCCCTGATAAAGAAGTATGTTGTTAGAACCTGAGTTGGGGGAGCATTTTTTCCCTTCTCTTGTGTGCCTGAGTGTGTGTGTGTGTGTGTGTGTATGATTTCATTTTTGTTTGAATTGCCCTCTATTTTCTCTTTGCCCCCCCACTTCTTCTTTCCCCCTTCTTCCCCCAAAGGTTTTCAGCGCTTGCTCCCAGCTGACATTCACAAGCAGGTAGAGAGGAATTAGTATTGTAGTGCAGGCTTTTGACAAGTTTATCTTTGGAGCCAACTTCCTCCTCTCCCCCTGCTCCATTTAAGGCAGAACAGCAGTGTGAGAAGAAAGAAGGGGGCTGATTATTGG